ACGTGTGGTGTCGCCAGCCACTTTGACCTGGAGGCGTCCTTGCGAAGTTCCTATCGCAGAGTGAACGGGCTTTCCGTATATGTCCTGGTAGTACGTAGTACGGCACACCTTTCTCAAGTGTCCCATTCGACCGCAGTTGTCACAGCGTGAGTTGCGTGGCGGGGGAGTCCGCAGTAATAGCAGAACCGCTTCGTTCTTATTTGACGTGGAGAGTACGCCGTCGTGTCGTCTTCTGGCTGCTCTTGTGCCCTCTTCCCCGTTGCGACGACGGCCAGCACTGGCGTCCCTTGTCAGAAGTCTTCGACCTTGGTGTCCGGGCCTCGGGGTACGTCCGGCAGGTCGAATTGCCGCGACTGTGGGATTCTGTTTCACAGTGGTTGAATCATGGCGGTTTCTTCCATGTTGAATGCTGCATGTCGGACTGCGGCCGCAACGGAGTCGACTCAGTCTTCGAATCGCTCCTCGTTGGTGACGTCAGCATCGGGCCACGGCTTGCTGCTGACTCGCGAAACCCACTCTTTTCGTTCGGACTTGTCCGTCGGCTCTGGTCGCGGGAACCTCGGCATGTAGGGGACGGGGCACCCTCAACCCATCCAACAGCTGTCGCCAGTGAGTTGTTCATGGTGGGTTGGGGGGCCGGGGCATCGCTGTTGCCGTTGTCCCTGGGTTCGGCATCGCTGTTAATGGCCGTGGATATGCCCTCCTGTGGAAACAAGGTCAGTGGGGGCTGGTCTGGTGGATGAGTGTCTCAGCAAGTATTGTGAGCGTGCCGGGATCCTAACACCCCGTCGATTCCCATGGCCTACCCTGAAAATCTCACACGTACCCATTCTCCATCACGCTCTATAATATCCTAACGAAAGTGCCATCAAACGGCCCTTTGTTGTTGATGGTTAGCCCGGATGCAGAATGGCTAAATTCGTGGCAGTGAGCTCGCTACATATCTGTACGGCTCAACCCCGTACGGCTCAACCCCATTCTCGAGTCATAACTATTATCCCATCCCCTATCTCCGCCACCGTTCAACTCCGCCTGCTGCCACACTCGTTGACTATCACCATTGGTCAATTCAAGAAAGTCGTTATCTAATCAAGCATGTGCTTGCGCTTCAAGAGGTGATTTACATCAGGCTCCGAAGCGCCGACCAGCTTCAAAAACTGCTGGACAGGGTCTCTGCTGTTTCCAGCACTAAGAATGTGCTTTCTGAATGCATCACCATTCCGTACGTTGCATCCACCGTTCTCTTTAATCCAGTTGGCAGTGTGTGCGTCAAGGACCTCAGACCAGAGGTAAGCGTAGTAAAGGGATGAATAACCTGCAAACGTGTGAGTGAAATATCCTAAATGGTAGCGCGGATGAATCTGAGGAACGTAAAGACCAACCTTCTTCAAAGTGTTGTTTTCCCATTCAAGGAACTTGCCTGGTACTAGTACGTCGAAGTCTGTTGATGATGCCGCCTGGCAGGTGTGGTCAGCGGCCGCGCATGTCCTAGGGTAAGCATGCAAAACAAAATCCAACATTGTCGACTGAAGATACTCCATGGTCATGTAAGCAAAGCGACCGACATTGTCATTCGTGAGCTTATCGATTATCGACACGTCCTCCGGAGCTTGCTTTGTCTGATAATGCTTTAGGTAATTGCTCAATATGTCGCGATCAGTAATCCATATCTCATTTACTTGCGATGGATACTCCACGAAATCTCGAGGCACATGAGGACTAGTGAATCTCAGATAGTTCACATCAGAGAAAATACCGTGCAAGCCGTGACCGAACTCATGGAAAGCTGTCTCCACATCATCCCAACTCATCAGAGCAGGGACCCCTTCGGTCTTGGGCTTTGATACATTAAGCTGCAGACCAATGATTGGCTTTTGATTCAAGAGCCGGCTTTGGCCATTATACAGTGTCATCCAAGCGCCTCCGTTCTTGTCGGGTCTGGCATAGTAATCAACGATCATTATCGCCAACTTGGTGGTACCATCCTTATCAAAAACGTCGTAGGTCTCTACATCATTCGGAATCGAGAATTGCTCATCGGAAGATTTCTTATCAGAAGCGGGTTGTCTGTACAACGGCAGATCAAATCTGGGCTTGAAAGTTATGTCATAAAGCTTCTTCGCAGCATAGAACAAACCCTCATGCATCACCTGATGAACTTCCAAGTATGGCGGCAATTTATTCAGATCAATGTCATACTCTTGAGACGACATCTTGTTGATGTAGTATTCATAATCCCATGCTTCAATTCCGCCATTTCCAAACTGATCAGGATCTAACTTCTTAGCCACTTCGTTGACCTTCGCTATCTCTCGCTGAACATTCCTAGCTGCAGGTTCAACAAACTTCTTGAGGAAATTCATGACAGCGTCTGCGTTTCCAGCAGTCTCGTCGGACAAATTGTAGTCGGAGTATGACTTGAAGCCGAGTAATTCTGCCTTGGCATGTCTTAGTCGCAGGACTTCTGTAAAAATCTCTTGAACATCGTATTCACCACCCGAAATTCCGCGTGCGATACTGCTATCGAACACTTTTTTCCTGGATGCGCGCACCTTCAATTTAGCAAGAACCGGCTGGAGAGTAGTATTTACGAGCTCAATGGCGTACCTGCCCTTGGTGTTGTCACCTTTCTCCTTAGCTAGCTGCTCGGCCTCGGAGACTTCTGTATCGTCTAGTCCGTCTAAATCTTCCTTGTTGTCAAAATATACCGTCGCCTCGCCGCGTCCCTTAACAACCCATTGTTCCAGCGTGGTCTCTAGTTCGGCGAGTCTGCTGTTCAACTCCTTCAGCTCAGTCTTCTTCTCGCTGTTTAAATTGGCGCCTTCCCTCACGCAATCCTCGTAGTATTCTTTAACAAGACGCTGGCTCTCTGGGTCAAGGGACAGTTTCGCTTCATAGACTTGTTTAATTCTCTGGAACAGCTCCGGGTTCAAGCGTACTTCATCATCGTGAGCAGCGAATTTTGTAGCAAACTCTGTGCGGATCTTCTCGCGCTCCGGAGTAGACTGAACAGCCACCAGGTTGTCAAAAATTGTCCTAGCACGTCTAAGAACTTGGCCTCTCTTCTCCAACGCCACAAATGTGTTTTCGAAAGTAGGAGCTTCAGGCACAGTAGCAATACGGTTCAACTCATCCATACTCTCCTTCATCCCCAACTGAAACGCCTCCACAAAGTACTCATCCGTCAACAAATCGAATTGAGGGAACCCAAACTCCAACGGGGAGGGTTCTAGCAACGGATTCGACATGCCGAAACTGTAGGGCAATAAGCCGAAAAATAACCACGCCTTCATGCGACACACAGGATCGCCGGGCTGGCAAATGCAGAGCCGTAATGCCGCCGCCCCCTTTACCGAATACCCCCACACCGCAGGCGATCTAAGACCAAGTGGATTAGAACCTAGCGGTCTAAGACCAAGTGAATTAAGACTCAGAGAACTGAGACCAAGAGAGCCTTCGGAATTGGCGCATGGCAGTTATTTGAGCGGCGCTGTTCAACCTCGTTCGGGCCGCAGTCTTGCAGCCACGTCACTTACAGCTGAGCGTTCATGGAGGTCAAGAACATCGCCCCCTGGGCTCCACCCCTCTTATAACTTCCAACCGTTGACTCCTTCCCCCCTTGCTTTTGGCCACCCGATCGCACCTACGTTTGGGCGCATCACAATAGGTAGTCTTGCCCCTCCTACGTCTACGGTCGCCGTCTCTGGACCACTGGGAATCGCCCCAAGTCCACTGACAATAGCCTCTGGGCTCTCAGTCGTTTCTCGACCCGTGACGACTAGTCCGTTAAAAAACCTACATCAGTCTCGTCAATCGCTATCCCCCACTCGGCTTTCGCCTCCCAATAGGCCTTCATCTCCTGCTAGATGTTTGTCTCCCACGAGGTCGTTGTCTCCCACAAGGTCGTTGTCTCCCACAAGGTCGTTGTCTCCGAGTAAATCAGTCTTTCATCCCGCCGTACTCCCTGCTCCTGGAGGAGCGGATGCTGGAGGCGAGGTTGGGGGGCGTGTTCTGAGAGGGAGTCCCTTGGAGCCCCTCACTCAGCGTTCCTCGCAGAGTCTGATGCACGCGTTACCCGGCGCGCAGGCGGCCATCGGCAGCCACCGGTCGGGACTAGACCTATCGGTAAATTTGTCTGCTGCGGCCCTCGCCGCCAGCAGACGCTTCCGAGAACCCAGCGGCTCCTTCCGAGTACCCAGCAGCGTCTTCGAAAGCGACTTGCCCGTGAGCATCGATACCGAGCGCATTCGACGCTATGAATTGGAACAGACCGAACTTAGGTCCAGAGACCCAAGGTCGAGCGACCTACGACTGAATGAGCTCCGACCGAGCGAGCTGCGACCCAAAGAGCTACGACTGAACGAGCTACGACCGAGCGAGCTGCGACCCAGCGAGCTGGCTGTTGGTGGGTTACTACGGCCGAGCGAGATGAAGCCTAGTAAACATAGGCCGCTTGAGTCCCTGGGGCGACCGCTCGTCAGTCCGTCCGAGCCAGGCGGGGTACAATCTTTTGTGCTCGCACGAGGCTCGATCGGACGAGGCACGGCTCGGAGTACAATGCAGAGCAGCCGGTCTTCTGCGGGCGAGAGGCTGGTAGACCCTGGCGCCTCGAGTCCTCTGGCAGGTCACCAGAGCCTCTCGGAAATCCGGTCGGAGATCCGGACATCGGCCCATTCGGATCTCCGTTCAAGACTCCGGATCCAACGCAGAGCGTTGAAGGCACAGTGCGAAGCGGCGGTTTTCATAGCAGAGAATCTTTGTATCCCTCAGGGCGAGGCTGAACTACGGGCTTTGATGCGCGGCCACGAGCTTCCGAAAAGGGAAGGCCGGGATAAGATCAGGAGACATCTCAAGAAGCCGGCGCTGCTCCAGTGCTTGCACGTCTCACCGGAACTTTGTGCGCATATTGACCACTTGAGCGACGCCGAACTCTTCTACTGCAGAGACCAAGTTCGGCCCACAGCCGTCGTAACCTCTGCCCACCATTTCACCCCCACCACACACGTCAACCAGGCGACCCCGGGGGCTCATGTCACTCCGACCCCGTCGGGAATTTGTGTGAAACGAGAAGACCAAATTTACTCCGTGACCCATTCCGCCTCCAATGCTAGAGCGACTCTTCCCCGGGCAAAATACGGTCAGCAGCCCCTCACGTATTCGGAAATACAACCGAACTGGAACCAAGTGGCAGGTAATAATTCGGTGGTAAGAACAGTTATTCATACCCTTCCAGCGAGGCCGATGGACGAGATCAGAACCACACCAGTCGAAGAACTCATCCAGGCGGCCCCTCTCCAAGGTAAGTACCACGGCAGGCCGTTCAGTTCTGGTATGCCTGCGGGGTCCAGGAACACCTGCCCAACCCGTACGTCATTCGGCAGTACCTTTGTGAGATGCTCTCCTACAACTCGGTCCAGCTTCAGCCCGACCGGCAACTCGGTTCGCCGAATGGGTAACAGCCCCCTATCCAGCAGTCCCCTAACCAGCGGCCAACTGGCCTCCAGCCCCGTAGCCAGCACCCCTTCGACCATTGGCGCCATGGGCAGTCCGCTCCATAACGCGCGGCACACAGTGGGACCATTTGGCAGTGTGCCATTCAGGGGTCTACCAACGACGACCACCACCAGACACAGTATGCCCGTCTACCCGACCACCAGTCCCATTGCTCAGTTGGCGTTCAGCAAGCGCAACCTGCCTGGCCCTATTGGACCTACACCCCGGCTTGTGCACTTGGCTGAGAACCAGTCGCCTCTGAACTACTTCGAAGCTTCGCCACCCAAGGTACTCGGCATCCGCCCCCGGACGCCAATGCACCATCTTCGACCCAGTATCGTCCCCGACCGACTAACGGCTTGGGGCGGGCAGGCCAGTCCGGCGCAAAGCGACTCCGACCAGCGCAGACCCGAGTATAGTAGGATCGGACGCAACCCTAGCGCCGATTTCAGTCGATGGCCCTCGCTACAGCCTAGGCTCAGTCCTTTACCCCTACCCACCCCCTCTGCCAACCCACTGTCTGCCATCGGACTATCCGGCAACCGATTCGCTGGCAACCAATTTGGTGGCAACCAATTTGGTGGCAGTCAGTTCCCGACGAACAGACTTCTGACCAGCCGGTTGCCGCTCGATGTTATTCGGTCTAGCAGTAGCCCTCTGGCCCGGTCTACTTTACCGGCCTCTCTGAGGCCGAGCTTCAGGACCGCCTCTGATCCGCTGGCCAACTGCGAGCCGGTCGCGAACTGGGGCGCCGTAAAAGGCTCCAGCCAACGAGCGACCTTGCCCTCGCCAGCACGACATCTGTTCCCAGTTCAAGAGGCGCCTTACTTGCGTCCATATACATTGGACATCCGACCGAGCCCGCCTTTCCTGAGTAACCGTGCTCCGAGTTATAGTTTGGCTGCCCCTCTTGACTCTAGCCCTCTTGGCACTGGTCCTGTTGCCATTGACGGTGTGCTGGCAAAGTCCAACTTGACCCTGGGGCAGCCCAACGTGACTCTGGGCCACTTCAACATGCCCCTGAGGAAACCCAACTTAATCTGTTCGCCACTCCAGCCGGCTTTACAGGCGGGTGTCCAGCCGGCTACGGTGGATGGAGCACTGCTCTCAGGGCCTCAGGCCCCCATCCAAATCTCCCCTCAGGTCCCCATTCAAGGCGCGTTATCTCTGTCTCCGAAGGAGATGAGTCGGCTGGGAGAAGGAGTGGAACAGGAGTATTCCGGAGACATGGGGGAATGGGGGTTCCAGTCTGAAGTGTCAGGTGCACGTCATACGGCACCCATGATGGTGGCTGCCAAGCCGTTAGATAGCATCCTGGATGCGATGCGCGAAGACGTACGTAACCATGTTGCGAAAAATGGGGCACGCGATTTGAATGCAGCTCCCTACCCTTCTGACAGCGGCTTCTCGCTGGATTACGCAGCGTCCACAAGTCCCCAGAACTCCGAACGTACTGACTTCAGCTCTGCTTCCAGCGTGCGGCGCCAAAACCTTCTCAAGAGAGTGCTGCCCAGACCACGGCCTGAGACAATTCCGGAGAACCACTCCCTCTGTTCCGGAAGCCAAGACCTGGTACCAAGACAGGACGTGGTACCAAAACGAGACCAGGTCTCTGGACAAAACCCGGTCGGCGCAAGTCGAGCCGGCAGCATTAATGTCTCCGGAGTTGAGATTCCGCTGCTTCATATTCAAAAGCTAGAAGCCCGGAACGATCCCGGTGCCGTGGTTGGTGGCTTGGCAGCTGGTGGGAACCTGCCTGTTGTCACTGGCGGAAGCTCGCCAGATGACTTAGACTAGGCTAAGACTGAGGGTGCTAAGCCTGAGGGTGTTAAGACTAAGGGTGCTACGCCTGAGGGTGTTAAGACTAAGGGCGTTAAGTGCCAGAAGGGCGCCAGAATAGCGCGCACCGTCTATGGTGGATTGGGGTGCGGCTAGGTTCGCCGGTTCGAATCCCGTCGATGCCCGACTCGGGCGTTGACGGCGAGAGGGTGCAGTCGGTTTGCGTGCGTCGATATGGAGGTGGCCCCAATCACGTTCGAGCAGGCGTTGAGTCCTGAGAACATGAAGGAGAGTCCGATGAGTCAATTTCTTGATTGGTATGAATTTCAATCACGAACAAATCCGTTCGACCCAAGTCCTATGATATTATCGACGTGTGGGAATAACATGAAGGTGGATAGTCGGGTGGTATATTTGAAGAGGGTGGATTGCGAGTCATTTGTGTTTTTCGGGAACCACAAGACGGCTAAAGGGGCGGAGATGGAGGAGAATAACAATGTGGCGTTATTGTTCTATTGGCCGCATGTAACGCGGCAGGTACGGATCCAAGGTGTTGTGGAGTACACGACTAAGGAGGAGGTTGAGGAGTGGTTTGCTACACGATCACGGGCGAGCCAGATTGCGGCTTGGGTGTCTTTCGAAAAGCTCAATCAAAATCCAAAAGAGGACAATGATACACACTCTGGCACACATCACGGCAAGCGACATGCCGCCACCGCAAGGGATGCGACCACCGGACCCGTCACCGTCGACGCCAACAAGGGAGCCTCCGGACCTGACCTCAATCCCCAGCCGAGTGCCCATGTCCCCGTCGACAAACGCGACCTTATCGAAACCAAACGAAAAAAGGAAGAGGAATTCAGAACCGCCGTCGAGGTGCCCGCACCAGGTACCTGGGAAGGCTATCGAGTCATTCCCCACACCGTCGAATTTTGGCAAGGCGGCTCAGACCATCTACACGACCGTATCACCTACTGCAGAAACGGACGCAGCTGGACCAAACAGAGAGCCGCCCCCTAGTCGCTATAAGCTAGGTGGATTATACAAACCTTATTGCAAGCACTATCCACTAGCAAAGGCTACGCAGTCGGAAACGAGGTTGCTACTGAATTTGGCACCAGCTGACTGCAGCAATCTGCCGTATCACGGTAGCCACATGTCTCTCACCCATTTTCACAACCAACGGAACACATGCTCCGGTCGTGGAGAACTGCAGACTAGCTGTACAGTACAGCAGTCGTTGCAGTAGCCTCCCCAGCTCCTCGCGTCTCTGCGTTTCTCCCTAGTCTCTTCTCCCTAGTCGCTTCCACCTTAAGCTGCCGGTACTCTTTCTCGTTTTCAATACATACCGTACTTACTCATCCAAGTAATCACGCTTCCAAGTACTTACATTACCCATACCTGCTGTACCAGCTTTCTACCGTCCTTACGATCCTTCGTAGACACTGTATTTGTTACGTCGCGGGGGTGGTGCATTTCTATGTGCACCAGATCATGTGGGACACGGTCACGCAATGGGCGGCTGATGCTGTGACCCAAGCATCCGAAACGATTAACCAAATCGTGAACTCGGAAACTGCCGAAGGCGACGTAGTCGACTTGGTCAACGGCGGAGAATCTCCCACACCGTCGATTAGTGGCCCAGGTTCTCTCGCTGAGTCTGTCCGGCCGTCCGCTGCCACCGCCTCGAGGAAACCCCCCGCTCCGGATCGCACGTTAGGCACGTTAGTGGACCGCACGGCGACCGAGGGACACCAGCATGGAACAAAAGCGGTCTACAAAGGCAAAGGGCCTGGCGCAACCCACCAGCCGATAACCAAGCGTTTAAAAGGCAAGCGTTTACAACCGAAACGCAGAGTCAAAAGCGACCGAGTCCCTGACCAGGACCGAGTCCCTGACCAGGACCGGGGTCCTGACCAGGACCGGGGCCCTGACCAGGACCGAGGCCCTGACCAGAACCGGGGCCCTGACCAGAACCGGGGCCCTGACCAGAACCGGGGCCCTGACCAGGACCAGGGCCCTGACCATGATCGGGGACCTGACCATGACCGGGGTCCTGACCATGACCGGGATCCTGACCATGGCCGGGGACCTGAACATGACCGGGGACCCTCAATGGGAGACGGTCCATCTTTTGATCGATCTGTTGGCTCGCACGCCGAGAGAAACGTTCACGAGATTAAAGATGAGCGGGCGAAAGGACCTCCGAGAGGGGGACGGGGGCCGATTCTAAGCCGGACCGTGATGCCAAAGTTACTGACGCAAACTTCGCTGGGTGTCCGTCGCCCGATGCCTGCGCCGCCGCCACCCAGTGCGGCGTGGAAGGCGTCACTGAAGCAAAGACTTCAAAGTCGTGCGGTGGTAGTGAGAGTTACTCTGCCAGAGGCCTTCAAGAGAAAGGCAAGATACATGAAAAAATTACCGCACAAGAGCGCACGACCGAGCAAGACAGGCAAACGTGGGCGAACCAGAGGGGGTGCTATGGAGGCAAGCCACCAGCACAAAGCAACCATCGGGGGCAAAGTGTGGAAGAAGCTAGCATTGAAGAAGAAAACACCGTCGCAACCGCCACGAGAAAGTGAGGCGAGACGAGAAACAGAACTAAGAGAAGAAGAGGATACGGAATCGCCCTCCGCTATAGAGCCTTCTTTTAAGCCTATACTTTCACCACCCACCGAAGAAGTCGAATCCGGTAAGAAGATCGAATCTCTGTCGTCCTCGAAAAGCGGCGCCGCCACGACGTCGAAAAGGGTCACGCCGAAGAAAGCCACGCCGAAGAAAGCCACGCCGAAGAAAGCCACGCCGAAGAGCTCCTCCAAAAAGCAGCCGTCAAAAAAACACTCGAAAATACCGGAAACATCAGTAGAAAATAGCGGAACACGAGAGTCGCGAGAAGGCTCCCAAACAATACCAATGAATGAGTTTCTCGATGAAATGATGTCTTGGAAGATGGTACCACCATCGCCGATGGCTCCAGACCTGCTGGCCGGCTCCGGTGCCGGCGCCCTTCCTGGAGTAGTAACCTCGGCCAAAAACCCACCTAAATTCAAGACCAAGAAAAAGGCACCTAAGACAGCGCCATCGAAGTCATCCACGGCTCGCCTGAAGCCTGAAGCCATCAACGCGAAGACCACCCACCCTGAACAGGTCGAGCAAACTGAGCAAATGAAGCAAATGAAGCAAACTGAACAGGGTGAACGGGCTGATCAAATGGAGCGAACTGAGCCAGCGAAGCAAGCTGCGGAACAAGTCGAGCGAGCTGAACTAGTGACGCAAGCTGATGAGGTGACGCAAGCTGAGGAGGTGAAGCATGCTGAGGAGGTGAAGCATGCTGATGAGGTGAAGCATGCTGATGAGGTCAAGGAAGCTGAGGAGGTCAAGGAAGCTGAGGAGGTCAAGGAAGCTGAGAAGCTGAAGCGTGCTGAATCTTTGAAGAAAGCCGCCACTCCCGAAAGCCAACCAGCGTTGGAGCCGACAGGGCGGGATCAAGCGGGCCGGAAAGGATTAGCTGCGGCTACGTCGGAGCCGACGGTTTTGGCGACGTCGCAGTCGGTGCCATCTTTGGCGGAGCTGATGGAGGTGGCGGGTGGCTCGTCGAGTACGTCGTCCCGGAGCGGGTATTCCTCCTCCGACGAATCTGTAGGGCCGGCTCAGCCTCGGCCGGCTCAGCCTCAGCCGACTCAGCCTAAAGTGGTCCGGCCGGCAGTTCAGTCGGAGATGGTGCGGCCGGCCCCGGCGGCCGGGTCGCGGCGGCGGTCTTCAGTTGTGGCGCAGGACGTAGTCATTTCTCCGGCGGCGTCTCCGAGAGCAGGAAGGCCTGTGAGCGAGTTGAAGATCGCGGCTCAGGAGCTGCCGGTCATGGGTTCGATTCAAGCGGACGCCGGTGGTCTGACGGCCCTGAACACCGCGACCAAACTTGGTGGGAGCGGCAAGGGGAGTGGCCAGGGGGCGGGTAAGGCGGGTCCGGTAGGCCCTCCTGACCCGGTCCAAAGGCACCAAGCAGCGGGCGAAGGGCCGGATGAGGGGAGTGTGGTGGAGGGTCGGAGAGAGGCGTTGCGGTCGCACGCGCGTCGTATGACGGTAAAATTACAAGAGAGTGAGCGCGAGCGGCGGGTGCGAGAGTTATTGGAGTCGGGCCAGAAGCGGTTGAGTGCGGCACGGCGGGCGTGGAAGGAGGAGTGGCTGGAGTCAGAGGGGTTCCGGCGTGTGGTGAATGACTGTGATGTGGAAGGCATTCGGGTTTCGAGTGCGATTTTGCGCAAGATTGAGGCTCAGATTGAGCGGTGTGAAGCGGTGTTGACTCGGGGTAAGGTGGCTGACGTAGCGTTGGCTCAGGTAGGTATGGGTTGTCTGGCGGCGGCGGTGGAACGAGTCTTTGTGCGTCGGGGGCGTTTCGCACTCGCGTGTGCGTTTGTGAAATTGGGAAGACATAAACACACGTGTGTGCCGGAACGTTTTACTAGAGCTTTGGTTGGGGCACTTGAGCGTGTGCGGAAGACACGGCTGCTAGCTGGTTGGAGCAGGTTTGCGTGTTTACCTGATCGCGCAATCCACTACTCACGTCAAACTCCGCCCTGGCTCTGTTCCACACGTCGCCGAGCGCCATTCGCTGAACTCGACGAGGCTCACAACCCCATCCGTGTCATCACGCCCAGCGGTGTACTCGCCTACCAAATGTTCGGTCGCGCAGGGAAGAAACATCACTCGCGCGCCGATGATCAGGGACTGTACCACGACGTAGAAAGTCAGTCGCGACGTGGCCGGAAAGGTGGTCACCATCGCGAGTCGCTGCAAGATTTGTTAGACAACAGCGAGGATGAAGAACTAGGGGATAAGGAAGCAGCCGATTTGGTCGAAGAATACGACCTTTGGGAAATACGCACACTCAATGCTTGGCGTCGCACACTCGGCCAGATCTTGCGGAAATGTGAAGGTGGCGCAGACGCCCCGGGTCTCGGCCTCACACCGGGCTTCACCCCCGGTCTCGGCTTCACGCCTGGCATGATCCTTGCACCTGGCGGCAGCGGATTCCGACCCGAAGGAAACTCCAAGTTTTACCCCGGGATAGAAGAGGAGTTGTCTTCCAGCGGGATGCCAGCGGAAGAAGAGATCGAGGACCTCTTGAGGCGCTTACAGGCAGCAGAAATAGACAGGCGAGTTGTTCAGAATTTTATGCCCCATGTTTTTCTCGCCAGCAAAAGAAGAGTACGGTAGAATGGGACACCACAGCACATCGCCGTAACACTACCAGTCTGGGGTTTACTCCGAGCGGGAGCTAAGTCACATAGGGGGGTTCGGGTCTGGGTCTGGTCGGGGTGTGGGTATTTCGTGTCAGTCATTAATTTGCTTTGGCGAAATGGAGACGCGTTCTTTTAGGACCATCTGTTATAGGACGACGTCTTCGTGGCAGGGGCGCGCGATGGCGAGCTCTGCGACCGGTGGTACTTCGTCGGTGGCAGAGCCAAACAGTGGGTATGGAACGCGGCGAGTGTGTTTGATCAGCGCGCGAGAGTTCTTTGACCCCAGGTTCCCGCCAGCGGTGGACTCCCCAGATGTCTTGCTGGTTGTGGATGGTGTGGCGCATCGAGGGGACGGGGACGCTACTTCGGTGGTGGGACTGCGTTGTAATTGGCAGCCTGTATATGAGAAGCGTGCGGCGGGATCGCGCAAACAGACCACGGGTGACCATTCCCCTGATATGCAAGCTACTATGGAGCACAAGTTCGCCAGACGTTGCCACCCGTACTTGTTGGAGTGGTATCGGCGCGAACGTGAACTTTATAGCGATGCTGTGCTCCTCAAGGCGCTGGCCGAGTTCTGCAGCCGCGAAGTCGACCCTTCCGTCATCTACAAAGCTAAGGGACGACCTGCTCCCAGCACCAGTCGCCTCCCGCACGCAGACAGCTCAAGACATACTGACGATCGTCTTGACTGGGACCGCGACAGCTCTCTCCCCCGCAGTCGCCGCGATAGCGTTGTTGGTCGCCGCGACAGCAGCAGTTTACCGCCACGCAGAGACAGTTTCATGCAGCCGTCCGACTCGCTCCCGCGTTCCCGTGACTCGCTGCGCCGCGACGATGACTCGCTCCGCAGAGACGACTCCTCGCTCCGTCGCGAATCACTCCGTCGTGACGACCTGCGTCGTGAAGAACAACGTCGCGAGGAGCTCCGCCGAGACTCGCTCCTCTCTAACAAGTCCGGTCGCGGAGGCGAATTCAAGTCACCTCCGCCTGACCGATCCTCTGACCGAGCCCGGGAGAGGGAGAGAGAGCGGGAGAGAGAGAGAGAGAGGGAACGGGAGAGAGAGAGAGACAGGGATTCGACAGAACGCGCCCGTGACAGAGAGAGAGAGAGGGAGCGTGGTCGGGAGGCGAAAGCCGAAGATTCCGCGGGACGCAAGAGCCAGGGCCCGACATACGACACGGACTTCTCGACGCCAGATCACGGCGGGAGCGTGTCGTCGCCGAGTGGGATTGAGGGCGCAACCAAGTTGAGTGTGCAGTGCAGTGACGAGAACGGGGAACGCACGACGCGGGAGGTATGGCATGTGCCAGTGGGTGCGAACGAACGGTTCCGACTGGCATATATCACGGAACTGTTTCTGCCAGACGAATGTGAGATGCTTCGGCGTTTCGTGGAGAAGGCGTACGAGACGTACCCGACCGGTGTCCTACAAGAGTGTGGATTATCGCGCTATCCCCCTAAGGCGCTGGAAGCGGTAATTCTTAAGAGCGTTGCGGCACCTCAGCTAGAACTACACAACTTCGTGCCTGCCAGTGTTAAGGAAACTTCCAAACGCTACATAACCACTCTCATTACGCTTGCAGCCAAGTGCGTAGATGTCGAGGCGGATGACTGCGTGCAGATGAGCATCGAAAAGGCACCCCCCAACGTTCCCTACACTTGGGCTGTGCATGGTTCTGACAACACTCACGAATTCATACACTTCGTCGTGCCTCTAACACCCGTAGACCACCCCTCACATTCAAGTCCCAATCACAGCCCAAGTTTACGCAGCACGAACTCACCAAGCGGTGGACCTAGTACAGGAGGCGAAGCCGAAAGCCAAATTGACTTCGATCTCAAGGGAATCACACTCTCCTTCGATCAAGGAACTGCACTTGTCCAGTTCGGGAAAGGCGCACTCGTCCAGAAACTTGTCGAGCAGACAGGCTTCAGAAAATCTCATGTATTATTGCGCTATTCATTTTTGAAACCATGACGAAATCCGGAGTAATAAAAACATGCCAAGACGCGGTCACTTCTAAATGGTACTGTATAGCACACAATACGGCGCTGCCAGCCAAGGAGGGGTACTATGGAGACCAGAAACTATGGGGACCAGAAGCTAGGGATGGCGGTTGTACACACACACTTTTATGGCACACACACACTTTTATGGCACACACACACTTTTATGGCACACACACTTTTATGGCACACACACACTTTTATGCTAACATGAGCTGGTGCTTTAACGATTAGTATTCTAGGTCGGCTTGTTGTAAGCAATATTTTGAGTATCCGGAATTGGAATATTTCATTAAGGATCGAATACCTAGACAGCCATTAATCAATCGTGGATACTTTGGACGAATTCATTCTATAAGATATAGTATTGGATCTTTTCTTGAAAGTTTACGCTCTGGACTGAGGCATTCTGATTTGTCATCAGAGACAAACGAGATGCTCAAATTATGCCAAATTGTTAATATTGGTTGTGGTCACGATCCTCTTTATTACTGGATTGTTAGAGCTTACCCGGATCTATGTCCGTCCATTAAATACTTTGAATTGGATTACCGTGAAGTATTGGAAAGCAAATCGAAAATTATAAATGCCTTTCCTGATCTGAAAAGGAAAACAGGAAACACAATACAGGACGATGATTGTGGAGAGGATGATGGTGGAGAGGATGAGAAACTCCTCGAAGGTAGGGCTAATGAACATCGCGACATGATGGTTGGTGAATGGGTTGATGTTATGCGACCTCTGGTTCTGAATAGTGTAGGCAAGATCCCGAGTTCTCTTATCAATACCGATAGATATGTCATGTGTCCATTGGATTTAACGGATACATCCGCCGTGTTCCCCGCATTGGAAAAACTTGGCTTCGACCCAAAGTAGTTTTCACTCTCTCTTCCCTTTCCTATTCAGAAGTAGTCAACACGTTTTAATTCAGGCTTCCTTCTTGCTGGGTAGCTGAATGCGTTTTCACTTACCTTCCTGATGAAGTAGTAGATAATGTAAGAATCACGAGCACTAAAAAACACGAAGAAAGCGCATGAGAAGATACATTGTAGTTAATGAGGTCGATTAGCTCCTATTGTCGGAGTTACTGCTTAATAAGCTATGATATGTTTAATGTCTATGATCGTTTTGGACGTGTGATGAAGGAGAACTTGAATCGTCGCGGATGTGAGATCCTGAGCACCTCCCGGTTCAGGTCAGTGAGTGAGATTAGAGACCACGTTACTCAGTTGCTTCCCAGTCGATCGGTTGACGGGGGTAGTGGGCCTGTGGTGAAGGCGGTGGACATGGATACATATTACTCTAAATACATTACCGCAATCGAAAAGTTCCGGATAGAACAGTTGGAACTTTTCGATGAGATGGAAGAATGGAGACTGATTCAGGAACATTACTTCGTTCTGGCTTTGACGAACATGAGGGGTATCGAATTACTGAGGGAGTGCGCCATGCCTAGACCTCGCTTCAGGACTGAAGAACTTTACGACTGCCATCCGATGGACAATCAGGGTACTAACTTTCCCGGGGTGAACCGGAACCGTCCGCTGTATAATGGCGAAAGAGTCGCCCGGACAAGTGGCACCCAGCGGAAAGCTCCCAGCAGCTACCATGGCAGTCTATCCACTCCACCTTCCTATTGCTCCGTTGTAGTCACCCCTCCACCCGGCAACAAACCCTCGGCGTATACGCCGCGGAAGGGATTTCCTCCATGCCACGGAAATCACGATGACCGAGACCCGGCGCTTGAATACCCGACGGGTGAAGATCCTAGAATAGAACACGGAGGTACCGCACAGAGGAGACCAATCGACAGGGACACTGTGCTACTCAGGGCCGCAGAACAAATATACAGCCTGGGAGACTCGGTCGTAGGGGTCGAGACTCTCAGGAGCAAAGGGATTAATCGCTGGATACACACGGTACCCTCCAACAAATTCTTCTCCGCTCCCAATCTTCGACCGAATACGCAAAGTGGAAGTGAGATAAGCATTGCGGACGAAGCAGTACGAAAGCCTTTCCTTTCCGGTCTAGACGAAGGAGATGAAAACATGCGGAATCTATCACTGGGAGACTTCCTCAAGAACCATCAATAAAGAGACTGCCAAGACGATTGGCGAACGACGAGACGAGAGGTCGAGAACAACATGGTCGAGATAGAGTGGATGTGAGGTCGAGATAGAGTGGATGTGAGGTAGGTGATGGAGTGGGGGTGAGGTCGGAGTGGGGGTGAGGTCGGAGTGGGGGTGAGGTTAAGGTTAGGTCTCTATGGGAGGTTGGGCGATGAGCTCGACAGCTTCTAAGAGTTTATTCACGTTAAGGGACCGAACGGACTTAGGCAATGAGTAGGTTTGTTCCATGATTCTTGGTGCACACGATTGGGGCCAAGATGAAATGAGCTCATCAAAGTCGTTACTGGACGGAAGTATGTTATCGTCTTTTGAAGGTGTCTTGGTCGCCGACACGGGAGCAACCTTTTTGGTGAGACGAATTATGTGTTGCTGGATCAGTGAAATAAGTGCAGTACACACGTCAAGTCGACTCCCTCTCACACACCGGTCCTGCGTGGGTAGAGCATCCAACACGTCCAATTGTTGCAGCGTGTAAGTAGTGTCACCGAGATCGACGGTGGCTCGAGATACTATAGGGATCGGCATCAACGGACTTGCGGCAAACCTTTCAACGTGGTTCATCGTGATCACCGAACGACGGCTCTGACCCATCAATACATAGCATACCATGTTACTAAAACAATGACATGGGCGATCGGACCGGTGATGATCGGACCGGTGATGATCGGACCGGTGATGATCGGACCGGTGGTGAGGGGTCGTCGTGAGATTAGTACTCAATAAGGCGTCTGAATTGTTTGTCGGTCGTACACCTCAAATGTGGGAGTACATGAGGCACAAAGAACACATCACTGGACGTACGGGCGCAATGCACAAGCTCCGTCTCGGTACTGTGTGGTAAGAATTTCCTCAGAGATTTGGTATACTGGTCGAGGAATAGTCTCTTTAGACGTTCAACGCTAAAATAGTCCTCAGGCAAGCCTCTTGATGATAACACATGAACTAGGGGGTAGTCATCCGGTAATGTCCTTATCTTGACGCCTGAGTTCACTGACACGATTTCGAACCATGGGTTCGTATGTTTACACTCTTCTTGTACATCACGCATCCCTCTGTCGTTCATATATGTGTCATTTACACCTCCGTCCTTGTCCAAGTCTTCAGCATGATCCATTTCGCCAACATACCAGTCATACATGTAGCATTTTGGCTTTGCATGTTTTACCAAACTTCTCGATATCCCAAATGACTCCAATATCACAGCGTCATCCAATTTCTGCAGTTCTTTACAATCTTCCTTTACACCTTTCATTCAACCGTACGATACCTTTGCTAAGAAGAGACGAGTTGAAGATGATTTCTGTGACAGGCTCTAACTAACTAATTACACAGTTTTGAAAGCAAAATGTACACGGTTTTAGAGAAGAATTTACAAGAGAAACCATTCATTATATCGTTATAAGAGGTTCCGAGTGGAACCGTTCTCCCTTTTGTGTTCGTGTTATCATTGCTATAAAAGATTGATTCTGTGTCTCTCGCTTAAGCACCGAAACCATAAATGGTGCGTCCGTGTCTCTTAAGGGCGTAAACCACGTCCATGGCAGTGACAGTCTTCCTCTTGGCATGTTCAGTGTAGGTGACCGAGTCTTGGACAACGGTCTCAAGGAATCCACGGAGCACACCTCTCACTTCCTCGTAGATGGCAGCAGAAATTCTCTTCACGCCACCTCTCCGGGCAAGACGTCTGATTGCTGGCTTGGTAATACCTTGGATATTGTCGCGGAGTACCTTGCGATGGCGCATGGAGGTACCCTGCTTACCCATTCCCTTGCCGGCTTTTCCGCGTCCGCTCATGGTTGATCAGGTACTTGGCTGCTAGAGGTAATCTGACTCTTTTGTTTTCTTTGTTCGGAACTTCTCGATGTGGGTTTTCCCCGCTAACGCGCAGTCGCGTCTTCATAAGCACACGTGTGTGCTAAAAGAAAGAGATAAAAAAATACAAACAACAAGAACAATGGCGTCCCCTTCTGGCACTCAGAACACCCCTGTGGTCCGCAACTCTGAGAAGAACGTTGGCAGGGGCAAGAGCAAGGGAGGCAAGAGATCATCTGCAGGCAAGAGCCAGTCTAAGTCCGAGCGCGCTGGATTGGTCTTCCCTGTGGGCAGAACTGCTCGTTTGATTCGCGAAGGAAACTACGCTCCCCGCGTTGGTGTTGGTGCCCCCATCTACTTGGCAGCTGTCTTGGAATATCTTACCGCTGAGCTTCTTGAAATCGCTGGCGCTGTTGCCAAGGACTTGAAGAAGAACCGTATCGTACCACGCCACCTGGCTCTCGCCATCCGGGGCGACGAAGAGCTGTCTCAACTTCTCGGACACGTTACCATCGCCGCTGGGGGTGTACCTCCTCAAGTTAACGAGGCTCTCTTGCCCAAGAAGAGTGGCAAGAAGGGCGCAAGCCAGGAAGAATAAACTCTACTCCGATGTACAAGACTTTTACCCAAAGAATCACAATGAAGAGCCCCAGAAGCTTCACTCGAAGCTCATTATAATCCTTCTTGACTCACTTTGTAAGTCTGTAGATAAAACTAGTTAGTTGTATTTGTTAACCGTCTCGGGTTGTTTATTGTGTTGTTAGTGGTTCGGTAGCTCTAATTAAATGGTTTAACCGAGTACCACGGTTTGGCACCTATTACCGCTGAAGCAATAGGTGGAACCATTGGTAAATGCATTGGTAAATGACGATATTGAAATGGGGTGACTGTTGTGGTTTGAGCGGTATTGGCATGTGTGCGAATAGATTGGATTGGGTAGATGGTTATTTAGAATGGGTGGGGTCAGGTCCTGCCCGGTGCTGAGAATAGACCGTGCTTTCGAAAGTTTTCATCTACGTGGGACAGGCTTAGAAAAAGCCGGTCATTAGGGGTGAAAGTATACTGGTTGTAATGGGAGATCAATTTGGGAAGTAGATCTTGGACTTCTAGAGTGCGGAGTGTCAGTAGTCTCATTGCGTGCGAGACTAACCAGTAGATCCCCATCATGGACAAAGAAACGCTAAAAGCTGCTGCCGTCGTCCAGGCAGGGTATAGAAAGAACAGGAACAGGGCAACCAAAGCTTTCAAACGTATATTGGTGTACTGCCGTGTCATTATAAGGTCCAGTAACCGCAAGGACTTTATCAAATCCTTCCCCTCCAATACTCGACTGTGAAGAGAAACAGGACCCGTAAAATTAACACTTAGATTATACAGTAACAGTGATGACACCGGAATATATCCTTCCTCATCCGCTCTACCAGATGCGACCTGGACGGTAGCTTTATCTCTCGACAATTTGTTGCTGTTGGGTTCGCCAAATTTGGATTTGGTTCCTGATTCTTCACCCTCTTTCTCACCACCGTTTTCATCTTCATCAGCAGCACCACCTTCATCAGCAGCTCCGGCTCCATCATGATTTCCAGCTTCTTCGGCAGCTCCGGCTCCATCATGATTTCCAGCTTCTTCGGCAACCCCACTTTCATCATTTACATCACCACCTTCATCAGCAGCTCCGCTTTCATCATCACCCCCACCTTCATCGGCAGCGGCCGTCAAGGGGGGTGAAGGCATCACGGAACTGCCATCATTGCTCCCATTGGCATTTCGTGTAAAGATGGCATCTTCTGTTAGGCATGAAGTTTTCAGTAGGGAGTCCTGGGAGGATGTGGGCACCGCATCGGCCGTCGTAGGACGTGCCGTAGTAGGACGTGCCGTAGTAGGACGTGCCGTAGTAGGACGTGCCGTAGTAGGACGTACCGTAGCGTCTGGGAGGTCTTGTAGATCGGTCGGATCGCAGTGGATTAGTATTTCCGGATAGCCTGGGAAGGACTCGTACTTGGGGTGTGGCACGTTATAACGTTTGTACTTGCGGCACAGGAGAACGGAGCTGATTAGCGAGAAGTTCTTTACCATTTTGAATATGATCAAAAGCGAGGGTAGCCATCGCCACAGCAGCTGAATCCAGGACGCTCCGGGTATCACAGGAGGGAAGGGGACCTGGGTGCGTATTCGGAGGTTGACCGTAGCTTGTTCAATATCCTTCTTCAGGGTCACGCGACTGTAGGTCACGGAATTCAACACAGCAAACAGGAACCATACTTCCTTGGCCATGTGGCACACAGAACTGAACACGAGATCCCGGAACGGTACGAGCCGAAACAAACAAGCCATGTCGACCAGAAGCATCCACGCCGACAAGGCGCCTACCAGCGCCCACAATACAGTAGGCACCTCCCCCCACCAGTACTGGTCGTTCAGGGATCCCAGTGGCCATATCCCAACGACCAGCGCACGGGCACTAGCCACATTGCCAATAGGGGTCGTACCAATAGGGGTCGTACCAATAGGGGTCGTACCAATAGGGGTCGTACCAATAGGGGTCGTACCAATAGGGGTCGTGCCGGTTCGAAGCCGGGCGCGTTCTGCGGCAAATGTCCCCGGCCAAACAGGACCATTAGGGTGCGAGTCAGCGTACTCTTGTCGTACTTGATTAAATGTTAATGTCCAACAAACGGAGTACGCCATGGTACAGGCCATCTCATTCAGGATCGGAAGTAGCAGCCTCATCTGCTCCCATATTGTACCGGGAGGAAGGTTCAGTAACCTCGTGGCGAATCCTGCATTATGACCGAACATTAAACTCCAGATCAGTTGTCGAGACATTCGTCCAACTCCCAACGAGGGTATGGGCAGCGTTCGGAAGCCAGTGAGATAGTCTTCCGCTGGGTCCACCTCCCCCACACTGGACTTGAAGGTAAACCAGCGATGGAAGATCCTCTGAATGAAATTCCGCTCCTTCGTCGGAGCCGGCAGCTCGCGATAACCGCTCGACACCGGCCCCGGGCTACCCAGCTCAGAAACTGACTCGTCGGTAAATAGGCTGCTATGCCTCCGAACCACATCAGAAAAAGGATGGAACCTATTACCCGCTTCCTCATCCATTTCATCTCCATCCAAGAGCAACCTACTAAATGGCTTGGCAGCCACCTGGTGAGCCGACGGTGACTTAAACGCCACCGACTTGGTAGCCAAAGGTCGGTGCACCAGTCTACCACCAGTGTCCGTTGGCTCAAGTGACTTGATTCTCACAAAACGTCTAGTCTTGTGACCCCCATGCTCTTGATCCCCTTGCTCTTGGTCCCCATGATTCTCATGGTGATGACCTCCGTGCGGGCAAGCTACCAGGTGACGTGTAGCTGGACGTACGGGCCGATTGCGACTACCAAGCTTGCTCTCCGACCTTTCCGGGTCTTTGCTGCTGGACTCTTCAGATGACTGGTCAATTCTGTACAAGTCCTGACCGCCGTAAATGTTGGTCAGGCTATCCATGTTGGACAGGGTTGTTTCCCCTCTGGTTCTGTCTCTTGGTGTTGTCTCTCGTGGTGTTCTTCCTCTTAGTGTTGTGTCTCGTGGTGTACTTTCTCTTGGTGTCGTTCCCCATATTTCGCTTCCCCTTGGCGTGTCAACATCCGGTCTTGGAGTGTCAACATCCGGTCTTGGACTCAGGTCGTCGTCCCGTTCGTTTGGTGCATCTTGGTCATCAGATCGCGACGAGAGTTCAGAGTCGGTATCGCCATCCCCAAATTTGACTCTGGGTCGGTTTTCTTCTTCACTTTGCTGTAGGAGTTGGTCCAGTGGATCGCTCTGCTCTCCCGTGTCATGTCTTGGGGGTTTTCTTCGACGCCGAAGAGCAGCGATGCTGTGTGGCTTTTAGAGCGTGCGCTGCGGAATCCCTGTAACCTGTGTGTGGCGAAACGTCGGTTTGCATGATGTTGCGTTTCATGTGTAAGTATTTGGTGTGTGATTTGTTCATTGACGTTATCAGTGTCAATCTCGAGGTCCCGGCAGTGTCTCAGTCTGATGAGCCAAAGAGGGATTCCGATGACATTTTTTAGGACCATGCCCTGGAGACCGGGATAGAGGGGGGCTAGCCACCAGACTAGAAGGCGGATGCTAAGAAAGGGTAGGTCGCACATCCAGATGCTGGTCATGCATACGGTTTTCCGGGTAATAAGGACATCGCTTTCGGAGGTAGGATATGCGGTCGAATGCATGAACCAAGTTGCCAACGTGCAGGCACAGACTACGTAGGCAATAATGGCCGACCAGGGGTCGTCGATTGCGCTAATGGCGGGTAGCAGATCGATTATGGTTAGCGTGTCCGTTAAGTCGAGCATCACCGCGATGACCATGTCCGTCAACAGGGCTTCGAGCACACCAAATGGTTGACAACCGAACTCGCGCTGGGATAAGTTGTGTGTATGTAAACCCCAATCGTGACCGTATCGTGCACCAGCCGAGCGGTCCAGACCACCGCCGTCAACTGGGTCAGCGATTTGCCCTATACCGCCCGTAGAGACTCCACCGCTCGCACCCGCATGGTGAACCTTGCGATCTACCGGTAAATTTGTCGGCGCTGTCGACACTGGTCCCACGCCGGACGAAGTTACAACACTTGAACGACCATCGCGGCCACCTGTCCGAGCAGTCAGTGTACGAGGTAGTAATTGGAACGCACCGCGCAACACAAACACGAGGTACGGTAATGGCAATAAAATGAACAGTCCAGGGGACACAGATACGCCTGACGACGTACCCTGAGATACCGATGTATTGAAGTAACCATATAAGTAACCACAAAACAGCTTCACCATACAAGTCCATCCATACATGTTCCACTGGAAAGCGCCTGATGTCGCCCCGTATTCCGAAGACCAATGGAATAAGATGTGCACCATCAGACAGATATCCATGAATCCAAACACATACGCACTCCATGAGAATGATACTGAGTCCGACCATGTCACACAAGTGATCAAAAATAAAGACAGCAACTGCAGGAACCCATTCAACATTCTACCTTCAAATCTCGCGAACCCTTGCACTCAACTCTTCAACTCTAACCTTAACCTTAAAACCTTAACCTTCAAACCTTAACCTTCAAACCTTAACCTTCAAACCTTAACCTTCAAACCCCCGGTACGAATCTCTTCCCGTACAAGTCCTTTATAATCCTGCACAATCCCAGCACGAAGTAGTTGAGCCAGTCCGCTTCGGCTAACGAAGTTGAATTAGAGTGTACCGCCGGAGGTACCACGGACGGCCAAAGAGTGGTTGTGGTCGAAAAGTGACTATGGTTGATGTGAACAATGATACAGTTGTTGTGACGAAAAATGCGTGAGTTCTGGTAGAATGATCTATAGGGATTGATATTAGAAACATGAGACCTGTAGGTGTAGAATTGCAGCAGATGGAAACTTGCAGGTGGACTCGTACAGTTTACATCCCGCTGACATCTTGGTAGTTGGCCACGTATGATTCCCAACCAATGGATTTATGTTGATGCATGAGAGCGTAGAGATACTGGAAGTACGAGTCCGGGTCTGTGTTGGCTCGTTTAGAAGAGTGGGTGAGTGTAGTAAGAATCTTGCGGTCTAGAATGTGGCTGCGTTTGGTGAGTAGGAATTCGTCGTCGGGAATTAGGTTACAGATGCGTTCCATTAAGCCGGGGACATTGGGGATGCTTTTGGGCGAGTTGGTGGTGATAAGGGGCCACTGGCGGACGTAGTTAAGTGCCATGACTCGGTAATGTTCGAACATAGGCGATTGTTCGGCGGCATACCACTGTCGGAATTGGCTGAGCAACGAGAGAGTTATACGCTCCACCAACGCCTCGTCGTAGGCCGTGTAGCCGCATGCCGTGCAGCAGCCCGATTCTTCAGCAACACCGCTGATGCCGTCCGTCGCAGACTCGTTCGTCGCGCACTCCACTCGAATGCGCGAAGGCGCGTCTTTTGTAGCCTTTTCAACCTTGACCTTGTACTCGTACTTGCTATAACCGGCCAGCCAATCTCCTTCTGGCTTTGGCGGTGCTTCCCCTTCAGGGAGCGGGGCGTGTTGAAGTTGCAGCCAAGGCAGTTTCTCGCTGGGATTTATTTCCAGGCTGCGCAGCTCTGCTTCGACACCGGCGTTCAAGATCTCATGCATCGTCTTGTACGCATGTCTGTAGTGACACGCACGCTTCATATCACGGTTATCGAAAGTTCGTATGTGCTCATCCAAAATGTGTTTGCAATTATTACGGGAGTAAAACTCCTCGCACTCATCCGCTATCGGTGCGATAGGAACCACACCGTAGTTCCTAAATGGTGTGTGGTTCAACAACCACACTCTTCTCGCTAACTTGCGTCGGCTGGAAACGCTAAAGTCCGTAGTAGGATGCTGTCTCGCATTGTTCACATACTCTCTCAAACTACATCCACTCAACTCTTCCTCCGAACCCATCTCCTCTTCCGAACCCATCTCCTCTTCCGAACCCTCTGCCTTCTCCGTATTTGTATGCTCCGTTTTGGTATGCTGTGGGCCTGGCAACGGTTGTTGTTTTTGGTCGTCAAAAGCAGTCAAGCTGCTGTTGTGGACAAGTTGATCGAGAGTTTTCAGTATTTTGTGGAAATCAGCTCTCGGACACAGATTTTTCGAATGATGAGCGTCCCTTCTGGGCAATGCAAGGTACATCGCTTCGGCATACAATTGTGTATTTCGGCTCTTCAGCGCTAACTGTCGGGCGCGATCCCAGAACCTGAAAGGATTTCTGCAAGGCTCTCTGCCCAAGAAGTGTAACACCGGCTCATCGTAGGACAGCAGCATGGACGATTTATACGACGGTGAGTCCATCGTCATAATGCGGACATCCACTGGGCTACTAGTTAGTCTTATGCATTGCTTCGCGATCCGATCGCACACACTTTTACGCACTTCTTCTCTGGTGCGTTTTGACAACAGCGGCATTATAGCGCAGCGATCCGACGGCATGTAGTAGGACAAATTAAACCTGTGTACCTGACTCTGCGATAAACATTCGTCTACTAGTTTGCTGATCTCCGAAACGATCTTCGTCTCATCCCAGTCTGCGAAGCTAAGATTAACCTCCTGGATCTCGGCCCGTGAAATGAGAGCAACGCCATTAGATTCGTTATTGAAGGCGGACACTGGGACAAACCACGCAGCCAAGCCTAAACGATCCTGTTGTATTTTGAGTTCATCATTTCGTAGGACAAAAGCAATGTAACGGGTCAAGTCTCGTCGAACACATCGAGGTATATGCACCTTCGTCCTTTCCTCTGTTTCCTGGCACTTCGGTGACTCGTTCACATCCATACTCACTTCCTTGCTGTTCGAAGGACCGTTCGATGCAGCATTCCCATCTGTGGTATCTTGGTTCCATGAAGAATTGCTTTCAGTATCCGACTTGATAACGCTGTGACCGTTTTGGACGTTTGGTATGTTGAGTTCCTTCAATTTTTTGCGCATGTCGTCTCGCTCCGCAGGTGAATAAGCATTCTTTGGCAACATGTGGCAAATATCGAGGTCTGAAGGTATCCAAAATCGGTTTCCATCAAGACCGTCAATAACATGATGCCTGTGGTAGAGCATGTTTTGTGATAGTTCTGCATACTTATGCTGCTGACAGTGTCTATGGTAGGGAGTGCGTTTCCACAAAATCCGCTCTGGGAATAGATGCCCGCATTTCCAGGTCATAGCTTCCATGTGTCCAGAAGATGATTCCAAAGAATCAGTTAGTTGCATACCCGAAGGTAGATCGTCACCTTTGAGTACCCTACTGTACAGGAGAGCCTGGTACCTAGCTGTTTGATCTCTTACATGCATTGGCGCCCGTCTCCACAGTTTATTGTGACAACCCAAGTTATAGATCAACAGCTGCGTCTGGTTCAACAAAGCCTTTTGGCAAACATTAGGTGGATACGATCTCATGAAGCTATCCATATAAGGCATATAACAAAGATCAAAATAATCAGAACTGAACTCGGACCATGTCCTCTTATTAATCCCGGGACTAGCTTGTAGTCGTGCCATATCCAATATCATTTTAGCTCGTGTACACCAAATTTTCGGAGACAACTCATAGACAGCGATGCCATTTTCTCCGCCACTAGAGAATTCACTACGGCGTGTATATATTTGATCTTCCACACCATGTATATCTGGCCCGGCTGACAACCGTCTCAGTTCTAAAAGAGTGGGCGAAGCTAGTAACTTCCAGCTATCGATCATGAAGGAAAACATATCTTCAAAATACTGTAACATACCCACCATCTTTTTAGTCTTCAATTTAATGCACTCCACTCGATTGTCATATGCTTGTTGGAAGAGGTAACACTTCTGGTAATAATTCATATTACTTCTCATCAGATCTTTAATACACCACATTTGGACAACCGCTGATGAATTGTAAAGGTGAACGATACGATCTACTAACTTATGAACATTAGTGCCCATAGTCATTCTTAAACGGAGCTCTACTCCTACGTCGAACTTAATAAGATATTCTCTCTCCATTTCACCAAATGATCTTCTTATATCTCTTTTGTTTTTATGCCCACAACGTACGTATCCTTTAAACAATCCTTCCACTTCCTTGCTGATCTTTGAGTCACTCTCTCGGTAATGCTTCATTAGCGCCTCTATAAACATTGTGTCCTTACCCCAACGGCGGAGGGCTTCCAGCTTTTCAGTGTCATAAAAGAAATCCTCAACAATAGAGAGCGCGCATTTTTTCTTCAGATAAGGGAATCGAGTACATGCGGTAGTCCTGAAGAACGGTGTGTACTCCCATTCCTGCGCTTCGGGAGTTAGTTTAGCCTCCACCTTCTCCACCTTCTCATCACCTTTACCTTCTAATTTGCGAAGTCTTTCCTGTTCCCTCTTCTCTTCTTGTTCCTTTCTAAGTCTGGCTTGGTTCTCGTCGCTATAATGGAGTAAGAACTTCTCCACCTCCTGTATGGAGGTGAATACTGACGATATAACAAACTCTTCCTCCTTATCCGAAATTTCATTGATCTCCAATTTATTCTCCTGATCCTCCTTATCATTTTTCTTATTCTTATTCTTGGACCCAAAACCTTGAGGCTTGTACCCGATTTCGGCGTCTTGACAGCCGTCCCTGATACACTCTTGCCAGTCGTAATAAAAATGGTTGATGACTGCTTTATGATCTTGATGCGTCCAAAGGAAGGAGCGATCTACCTCGACATTAATTATAGAAAACTGGAACACTTCCAACAGTCTGGGATTATACTGGGCAACAACGGTGGGCCTATACCGGCAAATTTCCTGGATTAATCTAGAGCACGCATGACTGGTTTGCTCGGAATTATCTATGGCCTGAGAACACTTATATATCAACAACTCCAGTTCGTGCTGAATTGCGTCTAGCAATCTCTTAATACAGTCCGGTCTCGCGTTATCTAGTAAGGACAACACTGTCTCTATCCATGTGCACCGAATAGGGTCCTGGTCGTGCAGTACATGCTGCGTTGCAAACCGAATAATCATTGCGCACCTCGATACAACCCAAGGATGCAGAGGGTGCTCCGCCAAGCTTGTCCAAAGTCCCTTCACTTCCTCCGTTCGACAATCTCCATATTCATCATACTTGCCATAGTCCCGAAGACGCTCAGCAGCCTTCACAAACGTCGAGTTTGGAGGTGGAGCTCTCTCATACAATTCTTTCAAAACTGACTTCACTACTCGAGACGGATTGATATTCAACCACTTCAAGCAAAACGTCCTGATCGCTCTGTAGCCTGCTTGACGGACGTCATCTATTGAAGAATTCAAAGCCTCTCGAAGTTTCTCCTCAGCTGTCACACCTTCACTACCCCACGACATCTCAATCTTTCCACTACTTGTCTTAAGAACGTCTCCCCCTTTACCATCTCCCCCTTTTTCTTGAACGGCTGCAGCTCGTTGCGGTGGGCACTCTATTGGCAATGAAGCATACGATTCAATAAGTTTGGATTGGTTTGAGATCAAGTCGAACATGCCGATCATGATCCTTGCCATAGTAAATTTAGCACGGGGTGTAACGAAGGGCTCCAGCTCACAGGTCTCTCCTTCATATAGCCAATGATTCCGCGGTAAAGACTCTATAATCTCGCGTAGGTCGTCACGAGTCTTACCATACACCATTTGGGTCAAATGGCGTGCTAGAGGCGGAGTCAATTCTAGTTTGCCTCCTCTCGTGAAAAGGTCGTACAGAGCCTTGGCTGGGACCCACTTCATATTGCGAATCATGAACGCCATATACAGCTTCTCTCCCTCGAGCGAGGTAAAGTTGACGATATCCAAGCCCGACATCATTCCGTCCTTAGCCACCTGCTTTCCCAACAGATGTTGCAAGCAATCCTTTACGCACACGTGTTGATGAACACCCGCCGCGTTAAGCTCGTTTGCGTTAAGACTATCCGACACTCGCGTGGATGTGGGTTGAGCAATTTCAGCTGAGCAGGACGCCTCGGGGTACACGATCTTGGGATGGTTAGCCAGATGCCTTAGCTTCTGCATATGCTCTTCAAAGAATCGATAGTAGCGTCGTTTGCTTACGTAGAAATCCTGATCTATTCCAGACTTGATAAAGGCGACCAATACGTCGCATTTCCTCAGCTTAATCACAGGGAAGCCATGCTTCAAAGACAACTGATCCTCAATAACTTCCGTCTCCAGCAGTTTGCATGTTAGCTGAAACAAGAAATTCCAAAAGTTAATAATAAGACCTGTCTTCTTAGATTTCCTTGCTACGTTCAAGAACTCTCGAGCATACTTCAATCCACAATACAGCTTGACGCCTTCCGCCCCCGCCTTATTTTCCTTGTCGCTCACTTCCTTGTCCCTCACATCCTTGTCGCTCACATCCTTGTCCATCTTGCGGTTGGAAGCTCGACGAGCCTCATGAATTGGGACTGAAGACGGAAGTTGGCCTTGTATTATCAGGCTCTGAAACCATTGGAATAACTCACTCATATGGTATTTGGCTTGTATTTGTACTTCTCGTTCGATTTTAATATCATCGTAACAAGTGGCGTCGTACGGAATTTCAGGTTCGACAAAAGGTCCAAAGCGTATTGTATTAGACAGAGTTTTTGGTGTAACGTTTTGACGTCTAGCGACCTGAAGGAATCTTGCCCTCATTCCATCTCCCCAAGGATGGCCCAAGGTCTTGTTTATCCGATCATACTCTTCAGCAGCAATCTTGGAAGCGTCATGGCTTCTACTGAAAATATAAAAGCTCTTCTTACGCAAACTCAAATAAGACTCATTGACCATTATATCTAGGAATATACGACCACTCACCGCCTCGGTCGTCCCCTCATTCATCGCCGCATCTTCAAACTCACCGGCAGCCTTATCGGTGTTCCCTGTCTCAGCGTTTCCGTTCGCCCTCGGTTGAGTGATCTTCTTCTTGCCCAAGCAGCTCAACTTCACCAAGTAGTCATACCGACTGTGAGCATCTAACAAAGAAAAATACTCATGTACGTAACGAGATAGAGCACCAGGGCCTACCACCGACGTGGACGATTTCAACCCTTGCGAAGCTGTTGCCATACTTCAAAAAAAAGTTTCGGACCAACCAAAAGTCTCCCCTCCAACCCAATCTCAGCCTTCCCGGAGGAATAGCTCGAACTAACCGTCGTCATCCACGCCAGGCCGAGTACGAGGTCCATAAGAACACTGGTAGCAACTATCAAAAGAAACAGGCGTGTAATCCCCCAAGTATCCTACCAGCATACTCTGGAACATACTCGTCATACTCTAGTATGTTCGAGACCGGCATCGTAACATAGAGGAGGAGCGCTGTTATATGTTTACTGGTCGAGTGAAAATCGAGTATCATTGACATGTTGAGCACGACGTTCTGGACGTTATGGAGCTACTTTATCTCTGAGCGCTTCCGTCTCCTGGGAGACAGAGAACCGCCGTCAACCAAGCGATGAATGGCCTAATTAAGGCCCCGAAGACGTCACCGCCTACTTCTGGGAAGAAGAAAACCAAGGAACGCCGCGGTTCGCAACGCCGAAGATTGCCCGTAGAGGTAGCAACTCCTCTTCGGTCGCAATAACCCCGCCCAAACTAACGTAGGCGTCTAGACACGCACCTCTTATAAATAGGTCTCAGGGATTACCTCTTCCCCAGCAACAACCACGCATTACCTCTGCCCCAGCAACAACCACGCATCAGATACGATAACAGATCGAGCTGGTTTCGATCGCAGGTTTCCTTAAGGGCGTGGAGGACTTCGGGCGTGGAGGACTTCGATCTCAGGTTTCCTGAAGGACGTGGAGGATATCGATGATTCCAGGCTATCGCAGAAGCAGCAAAGGATCCGCGACTGGTGGAACGCCCACGGCGACGTCGTGCGTGACCTTCGCCACCATAGGCCCCGAGGGATTGTGGTGCGCACCTTCCCCAAGCTTCCCGACGTGCACTTCCTCGCCAGCCAGTTCGACTGCTTGGCCGAATGCAAAATCGTGAGGAACGTCATCATGGTGCCCGCACGCTCCCGTTTCCCCGCTGGTAGAGTTGGTCTTGGTCTACGGGCTGGTAGAGTTGGTCTTGGTCTGCGGGCTGGTAGAGTTGGTCTTGGTCTGCGGGCTGGTAGAGTTGGTCTCTGGGAGGTAGAGCTGGTCTCTGGGAGGTAGAGCTGGTCTCTGGGAGGTAGAGCCGGTCTCTAAAAGGTAGAGCTGGTCTCTGGGAGGTAGAGCTGGTCTCTGGGAGGTGGAGTTGGTCTCTGGGAGG